TCCTTTGTGGCAGCTAATAACTAATAAATTCTTTTTTTCATTTAATAAATATGTATGTGGTTTTCTATGTCATAAGTAAATGGTTTATATATACAAATACATACCCTGCCCAGTATTAAACATGGGGTGATGTGTTTGAGTGAACATTTTTTTCCTGGGATGACTCTAAAGCTGAGCAGCAACTTGGTTTTGGAGCAGACAACGATAACATGTTTTGAAGTATATGATCAAAAGAAAAAAAAATCTCATGCTAGAATTTTCACAAAATCCTATATAAGTCTAAAAATCAAAACAAGAAATAGCAAAATCTACAGTACCATCATCTCTATATTCTTGGAAGATCTTAACACATTAGTAAATATATTTTTCCTTTGCACGCAAAAGTTATAGTCCGTTTCAATACATCTATTTTACTAATTCATCCATTTCCTTCCCAGTCAAACTTTACATATTAAAAGTTTCTTATGTTCTTAAAATTGTAAAGCAAGTAGTTTAGTAATTTCCACATCCTTAAAATTACCTAACTGGTATTGCATTTGCTAAACATACTTGCTTATAGTAATGTTATGTTATCTCCTGAAAATGTTCCTCGGCTTTCTAGTTCTATTTGGTTTGGTTTTATTATTATTATTATTATTATTATTATTATTATTATTGACTTGATTATTTACTCTGTCCAGATTGCAGGGCTGTTCCTCTTCTTATATTCAAAACCACCCAAAGTATGTATTTTCTATTTAAGCTGTAAACATACATTGTGTTAAAAAAAGATACATTTAGATAATTATTGCCCCTTCACAGTAATTCCAAAAAAGGAAATGAATGTTCATGACTTTTTCGTTTAGGAGTGGATTCCCTGTGAAAGCAGCTGTGTCTGCTCAGTTGGCATCTGCAGATTGCTGAAGTTTGGCAGAATTGACTTAAAGTAGCTTTCAAAATTAATAAATGGTTGTTTCTGTTCCAGAGTTTACTCTGGTATAAATCCAATTTAAAAAAAAAAGGAGGAATATAAGCATTTAAGTCAAAATGTGCAGGAAGAGAGCCCTGGCTCAGTGACCATTTAAATTCCTTGGGTATCTTGCTGGTTCATGCTAAATAAACCATTCTTGGAGAGGGCTGCTCATGCTGCGAACACCTTGACATATGTCTGCTGCGCAAATGTGCTGAGGAGGTGGAACTCAACACGCATTTCCTCGCCTGCTTCATTAGGTGACCTCTAAGAGCATTAAGGCAGAAAGAAGGGGCAGCTCCTGGTGAGGCCATTTCGTTCCCCAC